GTGTCCATCTACAACTATAAAAAATATATAAAGAAAAAGAAGCAACAAAGATTCTTAATGCTGATATAAAAACATTTTAAATAGAACCAAAAGGAGCCGGGCACGGTGGTGCACACCTGCAATCCCAGTGGCATTGGAGGCTGAGACAGGAGGATAGTGAGTTCAAAGCCAGCCTCAGCAACAGTGAGGCACTAAGGAACTCCGTGAGACCCTGTCTCTAAATAAAATACAAAATAGGGCTGGGGATGTGGCTCAGTGGTTGAGTGCGCCTGAGTTCAATCCCCAGTAACCAATAAAAAAGGCCCAAAGGAAATTCTGGAAGTAAAAAGTATGATTACTGAGCCAAGTATGGTACACATACCTATAATCCCAGCAGCTTGTGAGGCCAAGCCAGGAGGATCATGTGTTCAAAGCCAGCTTCAGCAAAATAGAAGCACTAAGCAACTCAGTGAGACCCTGTCTCTAAACAAAATAGAGCTGGGGATGTGACTCAGTGGTTAAATGCCCCTGAGTTCAATCCCCAGTATCAAAAAAAAGAGTATGATTTCTGAAATGAAAAATCTACCTGCAGAGTTTAACAGCAGGTTCAAGATGGCAGAAGAATCATTAAACCTCATTAAGCCTAAAGATAGAATTATCAATCCAAGAGATAGAGAGGAAAAAGATTAGAGCCTCAATTTGCTTTTCCTTCCTCTTATTTCATATATACTTCTATTTTATATATATAATATCAATCAGATTGCCATTTGGACTCTGGATGTGGGTGGGCAGGGCTTGAGTAGCCCCAGGCAGGCAGCAGACTGGGTGTTCAAGGTAGAGATAGGTTCTGACCTCCCAGCTACCACAGCACTTTCCCATTGTTCAGCAGGGTCCCACAAGGTCATGGTCATGGAGACCTAGCCATGCATGGTTTGCTTTTCTGGCTTCCTCCATGCTTTGTAGCCAGCCTCACACTCCAGTTTAGAAGTTCAAGCCTGAGATAATAGTGTATACTCAATATAATCACTCCCATTCTGCTCTAGATCTATAAAAATTTAGTGGAGCCATACTTATACCCTCCAATTTCCCCTTTGTTAGTCATATACAGACTAGAAAATCCAACCATAGGGCTAGGTTTGTATGTAGCTGAGCTCATACAACAGTTTGTATGTGCTTGCCTAGCATGTTTGAGGCACTGGGTTCAATTCTCAGCACCACCTATAAATAAATTAATAAATAAAATAAAGGTCCATCCACAATTTTAAAAAGATTTTTTAAAAAAGAATCCAATCGGGGCTGGGGTTGTAGCTCAGCAGTAGAGCATTCGCCTAGCACAGGCGAGGCCCTGGGTTCGATCCCCAACACTACATAAAAATATATAAAGACATTGTGTCCAACTATAACTAAAAAAGTAATATTTTTTAAAGAGAATCCAATCATAAAAATGAAGGCAAAGTAGACAGAGAATGCAGACATAAATGGATTACCAAAAAAATGATCAATACATCTTTGATAAAAAGAAAAACTAAAACAATTTTCCCAATGGATCTCAATTTTTTTTTTTTTTTTTTGGATCTCAATTATTTTGAAAATGAATCTGATAATATAAAGCAAAGCACTTTCTTTGTAACTGTTTCTGATTTTTTTCCTCTGAGACATAAACTCAGGATAATTAAGATATTTACTTGACACTAATCAGGAAATACATGGTATTTATATTTAAAATGTATTTTACTTAATGACCTTGTCCCAGAGTTCTTTGTTCCTTAAAATGGCTATCATTTCTATTGTTGTAGTTTTAATAATATGAGTAAATATAAGGTTTGTGCCAGCAGACATTTTATTACTAAATCAGCACTTAAAAATCCTTAGGCCTTTAGCATTCATTCATATGAATTTGACTACTATTTGTTCTAATTTCTTTAGGCTCTACTTTGAGTGGAGTTCAATTTCACTGTGAAATAGTACAAATGATGATGTGAAACATAAAGATATAATTACTGTCTAACACAATGGAGCAGCTTATCCATGAAAGTAGTAATTACTATTCTTTGCTCTGAGGAAGATAGAAATGATAGGGAAATGGGGGAAAACTTCTTGGGGGAAAAAAGGCAATATCTTTTACATAAATGTCTAATATATATTATAGAATTCTAATCCTTTCTCGATTCCTTTGAATCCCACAAATGTATTAAACATTCAGTTAAAAGAAAAATTCCCAGACTAGGGTGGTGGCTCAGTGGTAGAGCCCTTGCCTGGCATGTGTAAGGCCAGGTTGAATCTTCAGCACCACATAAAAATAAATAAATAAAATAAAGGTATTGTGTCCATCTACAACTAAGAATAATTTTTTTAAAAAAGAAAAATTCCCTTCAGGCATTGCCATCCACCGTCTTTATTGCTGCCATCATTCAGTTTCCCAGTTGTTTATTTAAGCCCAAATGATCTTGCCATTATTCTAAGAAACTTCAACCATCACAGAGATGATCATGCAATGCATTCCTTCTCAGTTCACTAATGCCACCTCTACAGACCTCCTCTTCCACCACCCCTTAGTCATCTCCTTCCTCAGTTTTTTATCTTGTTTTCATCAAAATGCAGTCAAGTACAAAATTACTACTCTCTAACCATAACCTCCTATTTTTCTAGGTAACCATAACCTACTCTTTGACTTCAATGATGTGTATGTATGGAAGTAAGAACATCTCCAATCAACCAATCCATCTTGACTTTCCATCAGCACATCCTATTTTCCAGATTTTAATCACAATCTGGCAACCTCATTCCCTCTTGCCCCTCTATTCTACAAGTTGACCAAGATCCAAACAGCACATCCTTTAGCCAAACTAAGACAAAAACTGAAAAAAGGCCATTCTGAACACATAAAAAATTCAGAATAATCAAAGTAGCAGTGAAATCCCAAAGAAAAACAGGCAAAAGTCAGAAGCAAACATTTCACAAGAGGAAATACCAATTACTCCATACAAATCGATATTTAAACTCACTACTAATTCAGGATATTAAAATTAATACCATTCTTCCTTCATCAAAATTAGCAAACTGAAATTTTAATGGGCAAGGCTAGCACGGGTCCAATGAATTCTACCGTTTACATAACCTGCAAACAGGGGCATAAATCTGTACATTTCTGAAAAGATGTGGCAATTTTTTTTTATAAAATGTTTTCCCTTTGACTCCTTGACTCTTTATAGAAAGCTAGATTTAAAAAAAAAAAAAACACAGAGGAAGATGTTTATTTCAATGTTGATAATAATATAAATAGAAAATATTCAGAGAACGGGCCCATATAACATGTAAAAACCTGTCATATTACACTCAGAATCTTAACTCAGGAATGAAATAGATTAAAAACAAATCATGGTGCCATCCCAAATCTAGGGATTTGTTCCAATCCCCCAAAAAATTATATAAATTTTACACAATAGAATATTACTCAACATTAAAAGAGAATAAAATTATGGCATTTGCAGGTAAATGGATGGAGTTGGAGAATATCATACTAAGGGAAGTAAACCAATCCCAAAAAACCAAAGGCCCAATGTTTTCTCTGGTAAGTGGATGCCAATACATAATGCGGGGAGGAGCATGGAATGAATGGAGGAATTCTAGATTGGGCAGAGGGGTAGGGAGGAGGCATGAGGATAGAAACGATGGTGGAATGAGATGGGACATCATTACCCTAGGTACACGTATGACTACACTAATGGTGTGACTCTACTTCGTATATAACCAGAAAAATGAAAAACTATGCTCCATTTAAGTACAATGAACTGTAGTGCATTCTGCTGTCATGTGTAATTAATTCAGGCAAATAAAAAAAATTTAAGTTATATAAATTTACTTTCCCCTGCTCCTTCTCTTTAAATACAACTAAAATTCCCAGACATAATTCACAATCACAAAAGAACTCTGAAAAGTGAAAAGAGAAGAGCAGAGTGTTTAAGGGCCTTAGGACATGAAAAGCAACAGGCCATTAAGTTTCCTAAGCTTTCTTTTAATCTTCTACATCCTAGACTGGGCACTTGAGGGCCCTGAAACTGAGAACTACAAGCATAGGTCAAAAAAAGGCCCAAGCATGCTTTCTCTGATCAGAAAAGCAGTGAAGGGGCAGCCTGGGAAAGTACTAACAGGAGGCCTCACCCTGGACTCCACAGTTGCAAGAGAGCACACTATTCCAGAACCAGAGTCACCAATGAAGACCAACTCAGAAAACTTTACACCCTGCCCTATCCCAAGGGCAGCAGGTAGGCCCATACCACCATCAGTAGGCACAGCTGGCATCTCACAGCCCTCCAATTCAAGAGCAGAGGGCAAACCAGGCCTAGTATCTACCAGCCTTTTATCAAATAGCAAAGGACAACAGTAGGCTCAGAGTGTCCAAACACTCCAAAGAGCACCAAAAAGTGGCCTAAGGAAAAAGACTTCCAATTCCCATAGGACTGAATGAGAACTCCACCTGCACATAATGGGCCTGGGAAAGTGCTCAAAGATTCCTGTACCCAGAATCAATCACTATTCACTTAGCTATCACTATTCATTTAACAGTACCAGAACCAGGTTATGTTATCTATTTGAAAAGAAAGGGAAAAAAAGTTTTAATAAAAACAATGCTATTTTACAAAGAACTTTTCATAATTTGGGAAAATACTGAAAACAAAACAAGTAACAGACAAAATTATATACACATCATTATCTTAGATACTTTTAAAGCACATAAAATAAAATGAAAAACAATGTTCCAAATGTTATTAGTAACTGCCTCTCAGTAAAAAATTGCTAATTTTATGTTTTCTGATTTTATTGAAGTACTTATAACTTAATTTAATACTCACCAGATGTATAATTAAAGGTCTAACCACAATGTACTGAAACTATTGATACAAAGAGCCTTGACAACAATTAGAGCTATGAGTAATTCTGTAGAAGAATGAGACTGGCCTCAATAACATGATACAGCACTGCTATCTATCCAAAAGATAAAAGTATCATGTTTTATATACCTGTGAATCTGCCCATTTTTATGCAGGTATTCCAACCCTTCTAATACTTCTCGAAGGATTGTAGCAATGGTAGGTTCATCCAGGACTCCACTTTTGTGTTCCCCCTTTGCCACGATGTGCTTAATAATATCCAAAACAGAACCTGAAAACAGAAAACACAGTTTATGAAAAATTTTTAACTTGTTCAGTATAATTCAGATCCATTTTGGAATCAAAACATATTTAAACCTTTTCATAAAATTAATTATGTAAGAAAGGAAAAAAAGAGTGACATGAGGAAACAGAGACATTTAAAAGTAATCATTTATTCCCAATTCCAATCTAAAACACAAAGTAAACTGCTATCATCCAAACAGTATGTTAGACCAGCATCTCCTTTAGACCTCTAATGAGAATTTGGAAGAAGTAGGGAAAGAGTTTTAACCACATCTGTATACTTCCTAAGTGAACCATACCCATCAGTACTATTCAAATGTAAGATATCACAAACTAATATAGACCTCCAATACCAGATTAGAGTAAGCAGTGTTGTATGACTAAAGATATTGATCTCCATCACTGCAAGAAACAGAGACAGAGAAAAAGGAGAGATAAAAACACAACTGAAATAGAGTTAAAACAGGGAAGTTAGAAAATGAAGATCAGATTTGTATACAAAGTAACTTAAACACTTAAAGTTTTCTGGTTAATAAATTATAGAAATAAAATAGGTAAAGACAAACATGAATAACAATGGAAGTTCTCTTTAAATAATACCCCAGATGTCTTATCAATCCTATTCTTCCCAGGATAGGAAATAATGCTTCTATTAAAGAATGAGAGGAGAGAGAGGAAAAGACAGTAATTAAAATCACAGAATGCTGACTACAAAAACTGATAATAATTATTATTTTTAAAAAAGGCATGCCAGAGATTTGGTTCCTAAGGTGTCTGGAATATACTGACCTATTAAGATCATAGAAGCAAAACAAAACAATCCTCACTATTAGAAACTATGATAAGAAGTCTGAAACAGAAGACAGACTATACTAGAAAGATTTAATATCCATTTTTTGGTACAAAACCTCAATGATCAAGACTAAAAATCACTTACTCAACCCTGCTGAAAACATACCCTATTGGATGGTTTTATTTCATTCACTTAAAAAGAACACAATACTAATTCCAAATACATGGTAAGAAGTGGTCTAGGTAAGATCCTCAAAAACACAAAGGATTGGAGCTGGGGGTATAACTCAGTGGTAGGACACCCTGAGCGTAATTCCCAGAACTCATGAAGGACTGAATTTAAATTCACCCTAGCTCCCACTTAAAATACAATAACTTGATAAAGTTTATTTTTAAAAGGAGGGGGCATAAATCCAGGATGAACAAAGAGAACAGGAAAGAGATTTTTTTAATAAGGTTGTGTGGCGGGGAGGGGGGGAAATGGCAACAATATTATAGAAGAAAGAAAGCAGAAATATAAAAAGTAACTGACTAAACAAAGTGAAAAAATTTTACTTTCAATGCCTGCAGAGGAGGTATACATTTAAGAAAAAGTGATCCTTCTGGAGTTCTGGCTCCAAAAAGGCCAGAACTATACACAAATACCACATAAGAAGTGAGAGGGCAGTGAAGGAAAGGACTGAAAACGAGAAAACTATTTTTATCTTTGGTTTTCTTTACAGTACTGGGTATCAAACCCAGAGCCTCGAATGTGCTAGGCAAGCACTATACCACTGAGCTATATCCTGAGTCCTAAAACTGGTTGAAAATTCAGATGAAAAAGAGTAAGATTCTTTATCTTTCCTCCCCTATGAAAGCCTCAGTTAGTTTATTTTCTCAAGATGATGAACCACAGAGGCTCCAAACTCTAGACAGTGTTTCCCTTTCTTGTTTTATTGGTACCAGGGATTGAACTCAGAGGCACTTTACCACTAAGCCATATCCCCAGTCCTTTTTATTGTTCTTTTGAGACAGGGTCTCACTAAGTTACTTAGAGCCTCCCTAAGTTGCTGAAGCTGACCTCGAACTTGCAATCCCTCCTGCCTCAGTCCCGAGTTACTGGGATTACAGATGCGCACTGTTGCACCAGCTCAGACAGCACTTCCTAGCATATTATCAAACTAGTTCTTTCCCCTCTTATTGCTGGGATTCACATGTTTGTGATATGGAAGCAGGGAGGCCTAAGGGAGAAACTTGGTTCAGTTTAGTTTAATCAATCACACATTGATCCCTAAAGCAAAATGATTACACCAATGGGCCATATTTCATTCTTCTGAGAATTTCAACCCACATAAAAGCAGTATTTACTGCTTAGCAAAGAAGACACTTATATAATCACTGAGCAAGCTGCATGTTTGTAACTTTAAGGATATCTAAATCAGGGAATGCCAAGGAAAAAGTTCCTACTAGGAATTTAAAATTAACAGTTTTTTAAAAAATTAAACAACAGCCAGGAGTAGAGGTAAACACCTGTAATCCTAGCAGCTGAGGAGAGTGAGGCAGAATGCTCGAAAGTTCAAAGCCATCCTCAGCAACTTAGCAAGACCCTAAGCAACTTTTCAGGAAGACTCTGGCTCAGTGGAAAACTGTCCTTGGGTTCAATCTCTGGTACCAAAAAAAACAAAGAAAAAGAAAGAAAAGAAAAATTAAGCAGTGTATTTACTTAACAATTAAGCCCCATTATATTCAAGATCTAGTACTGGGTGCCACGGAGTATGACAAGAGATATATGACATGACTGCGTACTTTCAGGGAATTTCCAGACTGATAGCTCAAAGAAAGGAAGCCACAAAGATCTTAGAGCACATCAAAATTATTAGTTCTGGGCGTGCATGGCAGTATTTATGGCTGGTGATGCAGTTTCTTGGTCTCTGAGATCCCTTCCTGGGTCCCTTCAGTATCCGCTGCCATCAAAGACTCCAGGCAGCTTGCGCTTTTTAATAAGGCCGGGTTAAGAGTCTTGGGGTTGCTGTTCAGCGGTTGCTGTTCAAGGGCCGTAGAGGAGACTCCTGTGCTGTAGGGCAACTTGTGCCTTTCTTCTGCGGGTCTTGCTCAGAAGAGAAACAGGGTTTCTTCTGTGTGACCTAGAGGGCACCGATAAGCGGGATGGAACCTGTGACCTCTAGGGACCCCACTAGAGATGGGTCCTATGACCTTCAAGCCCACCCCTGGGTTGGGACCTGTGACCTCGTGGGAGACCCACTTCAAAAGGCAGGAGTTGTGATCAGATGACTGATCCCACAAAGTGGGAGAAGGGCTTACAGCCACAGTAGCTCTTCAGGAAGATGTCCTAGGAGTTTTTATGTTTTCTACTGGCATCCTAAAACTGGCAGGCTACCTTGTTAGCTGCAAGGAAGAGCATCTTAGACTTTCCAGTTCCTGACAACTACCACTTCCTGAGTCCCTGGCCCAGCATGTAGCAGAAGGCTATCTGCTGTTCCTTGGTGTTTCAGCAGCAGTGATCCCAGGATGCCAGAGCTGAAATCCCTTCTGTGGCTACAAGGCTAGTATGTGGCACCTGTGTAGTATGACATGGATACTCAAAATGATAAGTAAGGCCTGACTTGACCGTGTTGACACTAGTGAGAAGTAAAGCAGAATTTGTATCTTAATTGAGCAGATTTGAAGCCTCACGTACTTCTAAAAGGAATCAGCAGTATCTTGTTCTTGGCCTGGGCCAAGAACATATATTTAAGAGAACTTTCTGGGTCCAGGTTTGGGCCCCATTTTTTTATGCCTCCAGAATAAGCCTGGCTGAAGGGCCTCAGGCCCTTCTAGCATCTCCCAAATGAAAAATGAGATATTCAGGGGCTGGGGTTGTGGCTCAGAGGTAGAACACTCGCCTAGCATGCATGAGGCTCTGGGTTCGATCCTCAGCACTACATAAAAGTAAAATAAAGATATTGTGTCCACCTATAACTAAAAATAAATAACTAAATATTTGTTTAAAAAATGAGATATTCAATAAACATTGTTTTAAATGTGTAAAAAAAATTATTAGTTCTATATTTTGGAAGAGTGTGAAGGAAGAGCTCCTTTTCAAAATTTTAAATTTTCAAATTAATTTCACATCATCCAACAATCAAAATTAAGAGTAATGCACATCCCAGTGTAAGTCCAAATCAGGCATCTGAACAAGGCATAGACAAAACTCTCCCTTCCTTGGTATAACTATTTCTTTTCCATTTTAGTCTCCTTCCAAGAATAATTTTTATAAGTGGCAAATCTTCATCCTTAATTGACAGGTATTATTTCTAGAGTCCCCCCAACCCTTCTTATCTGTTTGATTTTCCTGGCATCACATGATGCTACAAAGCACCAAACTCAATGATGGTGCTTGCAATACTTGCTCCTCAAATATCAAAATCACACAATTTAAATGTTAACTAAGAGAAAGTTGAAGGTAAAGCATGCTAAAGCAAAAGGAAACTACAGATTATCACTGGTGACTTTATTAATATCTTTTTTTAAAAAAAAAGTAGAAACAACTGGGAACGTTATAATAGTGTACACAATATTGTGTTCTCAAACACAATCTGAAAAAACAAATACTCTGCTAGGATAATCAGATCTTGAACTCTAATACATGAAGGAATTACTTGGCAAGTAAGTAAAAGATGCAGACCCTAAAGACTGTCATTCAAGATATCTGAGCCCAAGAAGTGCTTTTTCAGACATTTTAACAACCTATGCTACTTTGATAAAAGCTGTCCACCACTAAAATTTAAGCATTTTTCAAAATAAAGGCAAATAAATCACAATGAAAACTAAGGGGATTTAGTAAAAATTCTATAACATAAAGCAAAAAGTTAAAACACAGATCTATCCCCCCCCTCCAAAATTATATTCTATGTCTTCACAGCCTGTGGCACAGAACATTTAAAATAAAACAATGCGATGCTGGGTGTGGTGGCACACACTTGTGATCTCAGTGACTAGAGAGGCTAGATCCTGTATCAAAAAATAAAAAGGGTTGGGGATGTGGATGAGTGGTGAAGGACCCCTAGGTTCAATTCCCAACACTCTACCCCCCACCTCCACCCAAAAAAAACTGCAAAAGCTTTAACTGTCCAAAAAAATCATTATGATAAAATAATATCGACAAAGTAGGGAAGTACTGGCTGGCTTAAGATTCCTGTTAAACTGACAATTACT